ATAATTAAAGAGCAACAATAAAATAACAGTAGTGAGGCTATATAAAGGGGGTACCGCTACAGAGTCAATGTGCAGGGGCACAGGTTATTAGAGGTCATTGAGGTAATATATACATGTAGGTAGAGGTAAAGTGACTATGCATAGATTATAAACAGAGAGTAACAGCAGCGGGGGGACAATGCAAATAGTCTGGGAAGCCATTTAATTAACTGTTCAAGGGTCTTATGGCTTGGGGGTAGAAGCTGTTAAGAAGCCTTTTGGACCTAGACTTGGCACTCCGGTACCGCTTGCCATGCGGTAGCAGAGAGAACAGTCTATGACTAGGGTGGCTGGAGTCTTTGGCAATTTTTAGGGCCTTCCTCTGACACCGCCTGGTATAGAGGTCTTCACGACTGGTATAGAGGTCTTCACGACTGTCTTGGTCTGTTTGGACCATGATAGTTTGTTGGTGAAGTGGACACCAAGGAACTTGAAGCTCTCAACCTGCTCCACTATAGCCCCGTCGGTGAGAATGGGGGCGTGCTCGGTCCTCCCTTTCCTGTAGTCCACAATCATCTTTGTCTTGATCACGTTGAGGGAGAAGTTGTTATCCTGGCACCACACGGCCAGGTCTCTGACCTCCTCCCTATAGGCTGTCTCATCATTGTCAGTGATTAGGCCTACCACTGTTGTGTCGTCGGCAAACTTAATGATGGTGTTGGAGTTGTGCTTGGCCATGGAGGCATGGGTGAACAGGGAGTACAGGAGGGGACTGAGCACTCACCCCTGAGGGGCCCCCGTGTTGAGGATCATCGTGGCAGATGTGTTCTTACCTACCCTTACCACCTGGGGGCTGCCCGTCAGGAAGTCCAGGATCCAGTTGCAGAGGGAGGTGTTTAGTCTCAGGGTCCTTAGCTTAGTAATGAGCTTTGAGGGCATTATGGTTTTGAAAGCTGAGCTGTAGTCAATGAATAGCATTCTCACGTAGGTGTTCCTTTTGTCCAGGTGGGAAAGGGCAGTGTGGAGTGCAATAGAGATTGCATAATCTGTGGATCTCTTGGGGCGGTATGCAAATTGGTGTGGGTCTAGGGTTTCTGGGATAATGGTGTTTATGTGAGACATGACCAGCCTTTCAAAGCACTTCATGGCTACAGACGTGAATGCTATGAGTCGGTAGTCATTTAGGCAGGTTACCTTAGTGCTCTTGGGCACAGGGACTATGGTGGTCTGCTTGAAACATGTTGGTATTACAGACTCAGTCAGGGACAGGTTGAAAATGTCAGTGAAGACACTTGCCAGTTGGTCAGCGCATGCTCGGAGTAAACATCCTGGTAATCCGTCTGGCCCTGCGGCTTGTGAATGCTGACCTGTTTAAAGGTTTAACTCACATCGGCTACAGAGAGCGTGATCACACAGTCGTCCGGAACAGCTGATGCTTTCATGAATGCTTCAGTGTTGCTTGCCTCGAAGCGAGCATATAAGTCATTTAGCTCGTATGGTAGGCTCATGTCACTTGGTAGCTCAGCGGCTGTGCTTCCCTCTGTAGTCTGTAATAGTTTGCAAGCCCTGCCACATCCGACAAGCATCAGAGCCGGTGTAGTATGATTCAATCTTAGTCCTGTATTGACACTTTGCCTGTTTGATGGTTCATTGGAGGGCATAGCGGGATTTCTTATAAGCGTCCGGGTTAGAGTCCCGCTCCTTGAAAGCGGCAGCTCTACCCTTTAGCTCAGTGCGGATGTTGCCTGTAATCCATGGCTTCTGGTTGGGGTACGTACGGTCACTGTGGGGACGACGTCATCGATGCACTTATTGATGAAGCCAGTGACTGATATGGTGTACTCCTCAATGCCATCGGAAGAATCCTGGAACATATTCCAGTCTGTGCTAGCAAAACAGTCCTGTAGCTTAGCATTTGCGTCATCTTACCACTTCAGTATTGAGCGAGTCACTGGTACGTCCTGCTTTAGTTTTAGCTTGTAAGCAGGAATCAGGAGGATAGAATTATGGTCAGATTTGCGAAATGGAGGGTGAGGGAGAGCTTTGTATGCGTCTCTGTGTGTGGAGTAAAGGTGGTCTAGAGTTTTTTTTCCTCTGGTTGCACATGTAACATGCTGGTAGAAATGAGGTAAAACTGATTTAAATTTGCCTGCATTAAAGTCTTGAGTGAGCTCTCACACCGATGGCCACTCGCAGCTATTTCCCTTGCCTCCAGGCCCGCATCGGATAACTTTTGCATTCTGAAGTTGCTACCCAAGCGGGCTGGTCGTTAGTTATTTTCTCATGTTTTGACCCAGTCGTTCATTCTATTCATTCGACATTGCTATTCTAAACACATCATTGACATGTAGCTAGCTAGCTCAGATTAAATTATGATGAGAGACAAGAACTTCAATAAATAATGATTTAATAAATATTCAATAGGCCTACATAGGCTGCACTACGCTGGTTAATGAATGAATGGAATTCTGAGTGTTTACGGTTTCCCTGGTGAATTATTCGTTTCATTGTTCAATCTTGGGCTGGCTAATCTACTCGCACGGGAGAGATCACGTTTGTAAAATGATACATTGTTGCACAGGTCATAGAGAAGACAGACTGGCATTAAAATCCCCGGCCACTAGGAACGTCGCCTCTGCATGAGCATTTTCTTGTTTGCTTATGGCCTTATACATTTACATTTACATTTTAGTCATTTAGCAGACGCTCTTATCCAGAGCGACTTACAGTTAGTGAGTGCATACATTTTCATACTGGCCCCCCGTGGGAAACGAACCCACAACCCTGACGTTGCAAGCGCCATGCTCTACCAACTGAGCTACAGCACGTTGAGTGCGGTCTTAGTGCCAGCATCAGTATGTGGTGGTAAATAGACAGCTACAAAAAATATAGATGAAAACTCTCTTGGTAAATAGTGTGGTCTGCAGCTTATCATGAGATACTCTACCTCAGGCGAGCAAAACCTCGAGACTTTCTTAATATTAGATTTCGTGCACCAGCTGTTATTTACAAATATACACAGACCGCCACCCCTTGTCTTACCGGAGGCAGCTGTTCTATCTTGCCGATGCACCGAAAACCCCGCCAGCTGTATGTTATCTATGTCGTCGTTCAGCCACGACTCTGTGAAACATAAGATATTACAGTTTTTAATGTCATGTTGGTAGGATTTTTTATTATCCAATGATTGTACGTTGGCTAATAGGACTGATGGTAGAGGCAGATTACCCACTCGCCGTCGGCACCAGAGGACAGATTTCCACTGGTCTAATGTCCATTGCTCATGTTTCTTGGACAAAACAAGTCTCTTCTTATTATTGGTGTCCTTTAGAAGTGGTTTCTTTGAAGCAATTCGACCATGAAGGCCTGATTTACGCAGTCTCCTCTGAACAGTTGATGTTGAGATGTGTCTGTTCACTTGATCTCTATGAAGCATTTATTTGGGCTGCAATCTGAGGTGCAGTTAACTCTAATGAACTTTTCCTCTGCAGCAGAGGTAACTCTGGGTCTTCCTTTCCTGTGGCAGTCCTCATGAGAGCCAGTTTCATCATAGCGCTTGATGGTTTTTGCGACTGCACTTGAAGAAACTTTCAAAGTTAATGTCTTAAAGTAATGATGGGCTGTCATTTTCTTTGCTTATTTGAGCTGTTCTTGCCATAATGTGGACTTGGTCTTTTACCAAATAGGGCTATCGTCTGTATACCACCCCTATCTTGTCACTACACAACTGATTGGCTCAAACGCATTAAGCTTTTAAAAAGGCACACCTGTTAATTGAAATGCATTCCAGGTGACTACCTCATGAAGCTGGTTGAGAGAATACCAAGAGTGTGCAAAGCTGTCATCAAGGCAAAGGGTGGCTACTTTGAAGAATCTACAATCTAAAATAAATGTTGAATTGTTGAACACTTTTTGCATGAGTCCATATGTGTTATTTCATAGTTTTGATGTCTTCACTATTATTCTACAATGTAGAAAATAGTAAAAATAAAGAAAACCCTTGAATGAGTAGGTGTGTCCAAACTTTTGACTGGTACTGTACATATTACCTTAATTACCTCGACTAACCTGTACCCCCACACATTGACTCGGTACCGGTACCCACTATATATAGCTTCGTTATTGTTATTTTGTTGTTGCTCTTTCATTTTTTACTTTAGTTTATTTAGTAAATATTTTTTTCTTAAACTCTAATTTTTCTTAAAACTGCTTTGTTGGTTAAGGGCTTGTAAGTAAGCATTGCACGGTAAGGTCTACATCTGTTGTATTCGGCGCATATGATGAATAAGATTTGATCCACTGAAGTAGCAAGTTTACTAGATAGCTACAGTAGTTGCTGTGGTAACTAAACAAACAGATGTGCTGGTTTAGCTAACCAAACCATCAGTCCTAGCTTGCTATTACTAAAATCGAATTCAAAAATATCAATAATGTTTTCAATTCGACTTTTGCTTTAAAAAGCAGCTCAAACAAAACATGTAAGAATGAACATTAGCCATTGAATTCTACCATGCCGTTATACTGTGCATTATAGGGAAATAATGCACGCTCTAGAATGCCATTCAACCCATTAAGAAACGAGATTTCAACAATGCCATGGTATGATCTGCTGTAAACCCATCGTTTTTGGCACCTGAATAGTAAAAAACACTTCTGAATCGCATTCGCATTCAAGTGCAATAAGCCTGTTATGTAAATGCTAGGTTTGCACCTGTGTCCCCGATGCATCAGCTACTGTTCAATCCCATGTGAAAGGAATGGAATGTCAGAGGGGAGATACAGAGAGGTGAAGTGATGAAGCAGATACAAGCTCATTCAAACAGAACACGTCGACTCCAAGATCCTGGGTTCATTGTACACATGATGCTAGGAAAGAAAAACACAATTAATTCAAAATACCAATCTGAGTCAGAGTTCAGAGGGTTGATCATATATTGTATTGTTATGGATAGACATTCATTTGCTTATTCGACTTTCAACTATCATAACACGACCATGCTCTTCTCTTTCACACCCTGCAGCTCCATTCCGTCCAGCAGACACAGAGAACATGGTGAGGTTCGATGCCTTTGGAGACAGCCTGGGCCGCTACAACATCTTCCACTACCACAAAGAGGACGGGCGCTACGTCTACCGTAAGGTGGGCTACTGGGCCCAGAGTCTGACCCTCAACACCAGCCAGATCCCCTGGGAGGGCCTTGCCATACCCACCTCCCAGTGCAGCGACCCCTGCAGGAAGAACGAGGTGAAAAGCATGCAGCCTGGAGACGTGTGCTGCTGGATCTGCATCCCCTGCCAGTCTTACCAGTACCTGATGGATGAGTTCACCTGCGCCGACTGCAAGTTCGGTGAATGGCCCCTGGCCAACTTGACAGGCTGCTACAACCTGCCTGAGGAGTACATCCGCTGGGAGGACGCCTGGGCTATAGGCCCAGTTACCATCTCCTGCCTGGGTATGATGTGTACACTCTTCATTATTGGCCTCTTCCTCAAGCACAACGACACCCCTGTGGTAAAGGCCAGTGGGCGGGAGCTGTCCTACATCCTCCTGCTGGGTGTTCTGATGTGCTACAGCATGACTTTCATCTATATCGCCAAGCCCTCCATGGGTGTGTGTACCCTACGCCGACTAGGCCTGGGCACCTCCTTCGCTGTGTGCTACTCAGCGCTCCTCACCAAGACCAACCGCATCGCACGCATCTTCAGTGGGGTGAAGGACGGAGCCCAGCGGCCGAGGTTCATCAGCCCAGCCTCCCAGGTGGCCATCTGCGGGGGTCTGATCTCCTGCCAACTGGTGGTGGTGGTGGTCTGGCTCCTGGTGGAGACCCCGGGGGTCAGGAAGGAGGTGAGCCCCGAGAGGAGGGACATAGTTACCCTCAAGTGCAACAGCAAAGACTCCAGCATGCTCATGTCCCTCACCTATAACTGCATCCTCATCATCCTCTGCACCGTGTACGCCTTCAAGACCAGGAAGTGTCCAGAGAACTTCAACGAGGCCAAGTTCATTGGGTTCACCATGTACACCACCTGTATCATCTGGCTGGCCTTCCAGCCCATCTTCTACGTCACGGCCAGCGACTACAGGGTGAGTTACCAACTCTATGGGCCCGATGAGATATGTAGTTTTAACCCTTTACACTCATGGGAATTGGCATATATGGATAGGGCTAAATTGAAATGTTTCTTACAGAAGAAATATGCAAATGCATAAGCATGGTAGCAATTGAAAGGGAACCGTTTGGAGATAATGGGGAAATTATTAGACCAAAGGTGAGTACACAACAGTTCACCTGACACAAGACTGAATCCAAACATTACACTGTTGATTGTATGTGCATTTTACATTATAAATCGCAGTCAGGTGGGCATAATTTGAAAGCTTATTCTATTGCCAACATGACTAGATAAGTTATAGAATATGATCTTACAGTGTTAGGCTTTCACAAGACAATTCAGAGAAACAGATCGTAATTTTGGTGCACATAGAAAAGGAGTAAAGAGTGTATTCAGGTGAATGCGGCACATTTTCTTCACAATACACAAACAGGCTCATTCTGTTCAGAACAACCCAGGGTATGACGACATGTTATCTTGTAACTGTACATCAAACACAGTGATCATAAATGTTGACACTGTATATGACATGCGTTTTATGTGAAGTCCACATTTGGACTCAGTGTTTGGCTTGTTTGTATGACATCAAAGCGGTATTTATTATAATCCTCAACGTCTCATCTTTCAAAATACATTGAGTCATCTTAATTTACAACATTTCCCTCACTCAGAAAACAAAACATTTGCAAAAAGTTGCCCAATTACTGGGAGGGATGGGGGCCACTTCTTGTCAAGCACGGTGCTCAAGTTCAGATTGTCTGTCAGTCAAACCCGTATACGGGTATGAGTGTAAAAGGGCTACGACAATAAAATATGGATTTAAATAAAACATAAATGACTCAAGTCCATGTTGTTAACTTATCTCAAGTCTGAATAGAGCCCAGAGAGTTTGTTATTCTGGTATAAATAATCACTGCTTTTGAAAAGAATAACACCACAACCTCAACACAATGCCTGACATCTATCTACTTTACAAGGTGAGGTTGAAGACACAAAACGGATCCCTTGGTTGTTAATTCTACTTGTGTATTTCATGTGTCCTTATAGTCATAAGTCAGGGAATGTGAGTCTGGCTCATTGAATATTTTCTAAAGCACCTGCGAGTTGAGATGAGAGATATCAAATCCCTTTGATCACTTCTCTTTAACTCTGATAAAAGCGGTAGCGCTCTTTTCATGTTGCTGAGAAATCTGTTCCAGATGAGAACAAAGGCTCAGAGGAGATCATATCCCGGCAAAATGACATGTTTTAATAGGTTGGATGGATTTGGACTGAAAACACACTTGATATCGGCTACTGAATGACAATTAGCATAGAGCAAACGATTAGTCAATGGATTTATTAAGTAATGCTCTCCAACATTGTGTAAATACTGTATGTGTATATTTTACACAAGTGTATATGTGGTGTGTGGACAGCAGAGCAAAAGCATAACAGCTAGAAAAATATTTCTGTTGCGAAGTGACCTAATCATGCTTGGATTGTTGAGTCCTGAACCTAAAGATCTGATGATGGAGAGAGTTCCAGAAAGATATACTGAGCTCTGTGGTGTTTGTTTCCCCTCTGGGATCCCTCTGTGGACTGGAGCCGGGGAGAGAGACAGAGAAAGGTCCACTGGTGCACCTATACCTCTGCTGACACAGATGGGCAGGCTGGAGAGCATGAGGTCTGGAGGGGGGACAGAACATCCCTGTGCGTAGTATTGTGGAATGGAGTGTGAAAGAGCAGGACACTGAGTCCCAGCTGTGTCCCGTGCGCTGGGACTACGGTGTGTCTCCCAGGGCTTCAGAGGGACCCTGCCTCATATCAGGAGGGGGAGGGGAAAGAGTGGGACATGGACAGAACAGAGTGTCAGATCAACACAGATATCTAATCTGACCGCTCTGATTATCTCTGGTGTAACTGAACTGAAACAGTGGCTCATGTGATTTGTTTTGTCTGATGTGAGGGAAATATTACTGTGCTGTGTTCCGTCTGCTACACTCTTGCTCTGAGATGGCTGTCCTCCTACCGTGAGATTTCAGAAAACTCTGGTTGAATAATCAAACAGTAATTTGCATATGTCATCCATGAAATGTTTAAGCAGGCAAAATATGGTGTACTGAGGCATGAATTACAAACATGATTACCAAATGAAATATTAAAGATTTCTTCCCTGAAGGGGACAAGCAGCTTTTCCTCCAACCTCTGTGACAGAGAGGTTAACAAAGGTGATGAAACATCAGTCATATCCAAAGGCAAAGAGTGCCCTTGTTTCATGTAACCCATAGATCAGAAGAATCTAACTTTGATTCTTCAAGATTTGTTTTAAATAATTGATGCCAAATATGTGGTTCAACAAATCAAAGGCATCATCAGCTATCTTACCCCATGCTGCTACAAACCTCTGCAGCTTGTACAGGGTTGTACAACTATCAGATGTACAGGTAACTGCCAAAATAAAGGAAACACTTGAGTAAATGAGGGAAACATGTAAAGTGTTGGTCCCATGTTTCATGAACTGAAATAAAAGATCCCAGAAATGTTCCATACCAAAAAGCGTATTTATCTCAGATTTTGTTAACCTTTTATTGTGGCATAAACACAACCAGTCATGATGTTTTCATCTGCTCCTTTACTAGGCGACCCACACACGTTCATCCACTCGCAACATATTTCCAACATCCAAACAGTGGTGAATGGAAAGAGACATATTTTACACAAAACACCAAAAAGTGTAATGACATTTGGCGATCATCATTAAGCCACAATTTATGCATCGCCGCACGTCTCAGTGTTGGCCACTCATCTCTGCCTTGGCAAAATGTCAGTGCTTTTGTCTAACCACATCGCATTTTGGAATGTAGGCTATACCACCTGTTTTCAAGTCCATTCGCAAATGTTTCATGACATGAGGTAATGATAAATAATGGTGTAATAGCCTACAGTTTTCTTTACATTTTGTTTTAATTATTGTGATATGCTCATGTTTTACCGGTATGGTGTACCCCTACTGTTTCTTTTGCCGGAACGCCGTACTGGACCATACCGCCTTACTTTCACCCCTGTTCCTGATTTAATTAAGCAATTAACATCCCATCATCCTTATTGTCATGTATAAAAATGCCCAGTTGCCCATTATTTTGGCTACCATGGCTAGAAGAAAAGATCTCAGTGACTTTGAAAGAGGGTTCTCAAAGGAGCATAGGGGGTTTAAAGTATGTGTGTGTCTCAGTCACCAGATCTCAACCCAATTCAACACTTATGGGAGATTCTGGAGCAGCACCGGAGACACCACCGTTAACAAAACACCCTATTAAGACACTTTATGTTGGTGTTTCCTTTATTTTGGCAATTACCTGTATCTTTAGGTTGTATTGGTGACATTTATTTCATATACTCATACTCTACAAGCCAACAGAAACCCTAAAATCATCCAATCATGCTCTACGTTCACATCCTGTTACCAGGCTGAAAATGTAGGATGATCTCACTCTTCCTGTGCGGGCTTCCTCTAGGTCGAACAACACACCTGAATATATGGTATGGCTAGCACAGGCTACACAGCCTTTTAAAAACAGACACTTCCCACTGGGCACACACTGGTTGATTCAATGTTGTTTCCATGTCAATTCAATGACATTTTGTTGAACCAACGTGGAATAGACGTAGGAGATGGCTGGTAAGATCCAGAGTTGCCATGCTCTACATCCTGAATTCAACCTTCTCAGAAAACACAGCTTGTTTTACTGAGAAGACAGATTCCCAGCTCTCTGCTCTTCCTAAGGAACATCTTTGCTTAACACATTATTATGCAGTAGGCTACACTGTCCTCATTGCAGTGTTATTAAAACTATTTATGAGTACAAAGTATGGAACATAGGACCTGTGTAACATTTGATAATATCCAGTTACTTACATGAGGATGACATCAGTTTCCCGCCATTTAGTTATTTTATAAACCTGATTAAAACTGATGGATTAACTTTTTAACATACTGTACAGCTCAAAAAGGGACTGCTAGTTGAGCCTGTCAACAAATCAATAATTTATTTCTAATGCATTTCACATTGAACTACACAACTCAAAGATTCACTTGTGTCATGTTATGGTGAATTTGCATTCAGTGACAGCAGTGAGTGAACGGCCACAGCACAGCTTGAACAGCGTGTCCACTGCTGGGTGCTCTCTGCCTGCCAGCCCAGCTCATTCTAATGCTGCTATTAGTATTCAGGGAGACATGGACAGACACCTGGGAAGTGTGTGGATGGCAGACTGGCAAGATGCACCCAACACCCACCCACCAAGCAGCACTGCACTATAACTAAACAGTTATCTGGGAAGAGACAAAGACAAAGACAAAGCTGGGCTGTATATAAAAGGACTGGCTGATGACACACAACTGCATGTGGGCGGACGGAAGGAGAGGACTTGAGGGGGATGGGGGTTAGGATGATTTAAGGGACTGACAGGCAAATAAACACCTCCTCTCAGATACTGCTGGTAGCACCACACAAGCACACATGGTTACTATCTGTTTTCTTTTTGACATTCCTCAGTCTCCATGGTGTATTGTGTTCCGTAATCAGGGTTCGGTAGCTAGGTTACTTTCTAAATGTAATCCGTTACAGTTATTAGTTACCTGTTCAAAATTTTAATCAGTAACGTAACTTTTGGGTTACCCAAACTCAGTAACGTAATCTGATTACTTTTTGATTACTTTCCTCTTAAAAGACATTAGAAGAAGACAAATTATCTATCAAACGTATTTGGTGTGCCATCATAGTGGTCTCTGACTTGTGGTCAGACTCGCTCAGGCGGAACAAACTTAAACTTGCACCTTTTTTTAATGCTGAATTTAATGTAATTGAGAAAACAGAAAGGTGTATTTTTTCGCAAACATCCTTTCTAAATTTAAAAGTAATCCAAGATATAATCATCTAGTTTTACAAAAGTATCTGTCATCTGATTACAATATTGTTGCTGGTAACGTAATTGATTACAGCTAGTTTTTTAGTAATCAGATTACATGTAATCAGTTACTCCCCAGCCCTGTCCGTAATATGGTATGATAGGCTTTTATCAGATGAGTAATCCCTGTCTCTGGTCCCATCCTCTCCATTTCTCCCTCTCCCCCCTTCAGGTGCAGACCACCACCATGTGCATCTCTGTCAGTCTGAGTGGCTCGGTGGTGCTGGGCTGCCTCTTTGCCCCTAAGACCCACATCATCCTGTTCCAGCCCCAGAAGAACGTCACCTCGCTCCGGGTGGCCACCACCCGCTTCGGCATCACCACTGGCCCCGGATCCAGCTTCTCTCAAGGTACAAATCCCGCCGGAAGGCAAACACAACCTTCATCATCACCATTATCATCAGCATCATCATTATCATTATTATTAGTCATTTTACATTACCATTATTCATCACTGAGATGTTTCAACATATTACATGATACAGCACTTCACTTCAGAACACCCCTGTGGTGAGCTGTCAGACCAGCGAAACCGGAGTGTCTCTAAACTTTAGAATGAGGTGTTCTTTTCCACTCCACTACTCTCATCTTCTTCTCTAACCTATAATCTGACTGTCAGTGAGTTGTAATCTGATAGAAGTGTTGTTGTAAATGGTCTATTCTCTTTCTGCAGCTTCAGCCTCCAATATTGTACCAACGGTGTGTAACGGTCGAGAAGTGGTGGACTCCACGACTTCCTCCTTGTGAAGACTGACAGACTGAGCCTCATGTTCCTCTGCTGCCATTGTATACAGTTCTATAACCACTAGTCAAGAATGAGTTGTTTCAGATATTAAAGAGGTCACACAGAAGATTGTCCTGATTTTGTTATCCTCTAAGTGCTGTGAGTACAATGTCCCGATTCTGTTTTCATTCTCTGACTAGTAGCGATTTTAAAAAGAGATGTCAAAGATTCAGTATTATAGCCCTTCTTTTTATTGAAGATTTTACTTCATTCATGGAGTAAATTATAGTAAATCTGTTAAATGTAATATACACAAGATGTTTTTAATGTAGATTTTGGTGAACCAGTTTGTGCTTTCTTGTAATTTATGTAAATAAAACGTTGTTTTTTTTATTAATATGAAAACTACAGATGGGTTGAATATTCTATAACTCTCATACACAGGCTGTCTGACTGAAACAAAATGTGTTGTAGTTAAACTCTCATTCAATCAGAAGACACATTACTTAACACAGAGTCACCAAGGAGGTGATCAAACTCTAGTCTGTGCATTTTAGTCAAAGTATTATGTTGCATAGAAACCCATTTCCAAACTTGTGTCACCGCTGCTCTTGAATCTCACAGAGCATTTGGGGAAAGGTGAATTAAATTCATGACATTTAATTACAGAATTTCATCACCCTGGAGCCTCGGCATGAGTAACCCTCAGAAACACCTCCAAGAACTTCAGACTCAACAAACTACATCAACAGTTGGCATTTTCAAGTATTTAACACCGTGGCATTTTCAGGAGGCCTGATGACTGCCATGGCCACATCACAGGAAACCATTACTGATAAGAATATGCCAGCAGCTTACAAATGCCACACTCAGTCAGACAAAGCGTACCTTAATTTATTAGAGAATCCCAGTGGCATACCTTGACCCACTTCCAACTGCCACCTAATGAGCCTCTTCAACTCTTGAATGCTCCAGCATTCTAATCTCTAACATCAGTAGAAATGATGCAAATCATTTTGAGAAGAGAAGCATAAGCAAATATTACTGTATGTAATATGTGATTCAAATATTTGTCATACAATCCCCCTCTAAAATACTATTAGCTTGTGCAATTCCTTGTGCAATTCCTCACTTTAGTTTCACTGAGTGTACAAAACATTAAGGACACATGCTCTTTCCATGACAGACTGACCAGGTGAATCCAGGTGAAAGCTATGATCCCTTATCGATGTCACTTGTTAAACCCACTTTAATCAGTGTAGATGAAGGGGAGGAGACAGGTTAAAGAATGATTTTTAAGCCTTGAGACAATGGATTGTGTATGTGTGCCATTCAGAGGGGAAATGGGCAAGACAAAATATTAAAGTGCCTTTGAACGGGGTATAGTAGTATGTGCCAGGCGCACCGGTTTGTGACGAGAACTGCAACGCTGCTGGGTTCTTCATGCTCTACAGTTTCCCGTGTGTATCAAGAATGGTCTACTACCCAAAGGACATCCAGCCAACTTGACACAATTGAGTCAAGATGGGCTAGCATCCCTGTGGAACGCTTTTGACACCTTGCAGAGTCCATGCCCCAACGAATTGAGGCTGTTCTGAGGGCAAAAGGGGGGCTGCAACTCAATATTAGGAAGGTGTTCTTAATGTTTTGTACATTCAGTGTATGTTGGTAAGTGTAAATGGGAAGCTGCCAAATATTTGTCTATTTAATTCACCATCTGCCAAGCCTGCAGACCAAACAGACCACAGCCTCTCAGTGAAAATTAGCCCAAGCATCTACATGAGTTAATATGAGAGAAAATCCTCTGCAGGTGCCTTTGGAATACACCAAACAAAAGTTGTACTGTGGAAGAGTCGAAAGAGGACATGAGCCAGATTTTTCTCAGAACGATGGACCACATCCTTGATTCAACACTGCCATCTTGTGTGCATGAAGTGAACTTTCTCCACAAAGGCTAAATCCAGCTGGTACACTGGATCATGTATTTAGATGGTTACCAAGGTGTAACACAGTAGGATCTGCTACATTTACATGATTGTTGTCACAAATTATGATTCTAAGTTGAGTGATATGACATTATTGATGCTGATACCTTTAACTAGTACAATCCCAGACATTAGGCCTACATAATGTAAATTCCTTAATAGATAATCAATGCTCACTCATACCTACATTATATCAATCCCAGATAAAGAACAGATGATTAACCCAATGTAATGTGCCCCAGATGAGGCCATGTGTTGTAATGGGCAGGTTCAGTGTAATGTATCTGTTCAACACAGACCATGCACACTTCATTATGGCCTAATATGACAGCCTATTCTATTTTTCACAAAAGTCATAATTATTGTCCCTCATTGATGACATTATTGATTAACCTAATAAAACTGATGAGTAGTGCAAATTGGCTCCTCACGAGGCTGATCCATTCCTGACACACTCAGATGAGTCATAAGGTGTTGGAGTAATGGGGTGTAGCCAGGCCTACCACAGAGACATGTGGATGGGATGGAGGCCCAAACCTCTATCCCTCTACTACCAGCCAGTCCCTCTCAATCAAAAATTCACAACATAAAACAGGTTTTTCTAAGCACTAAGTTAGCCTTTCTTTATCATGTGAACCCCTATATTCTAGAAGGACAACTGCAATTTCCTACAGGTGCAACATTTCCAAGAGGAGGGCACATAATGATCTGTCATTACATCATTGAGGCTTTTAGATATCAGGACTAACTTGAATAAAGGAAAACAAAGAGTTGCTGGTGAGGTAGCCTATAAATACAATAACAGACACCTTGTAAAAGAGTAACACCCCTCCCTACCTTCAGGCTACGCTCAAACCCTACACCCCAACCTGAGAACTCCGTTCTGCCACCTCAGGTCTTTTGGCCCTCCCATTCTACGGAGTCTGTTGACAAAATTCAAACTAAAAGGTACATTGTATTTAAAGGGACAGCTTAAGATAAATATACTGAAAACCCTATTGAATGAAAACTCCACGAGAAAATCTGTTGGCCAGCAAGTTGGAGGGTTTTCAGTTGAAATACATTTATTCAGCGCGCAAGGGAACCATGCCTGCAGGCTGTTATGTACCTTCATAAGGTCAGTCTGAATACCAACTACTGAGTAGTGCGTAGGAAAGGCATATATGGGAAAGGCATAAATTCCTAAGTCGGAATCGGGCCCCATGTAAATTGCTGTTACACAAGACCAAATATCTGTTGTTCCTCTTATCATACACTATTAATCTATCAGTTAGTCACAGTCAATTGTACCTCTAAGTGAACATGGAAATATTTGAGATAAGGACATTTGCATAACATACCACAAAAGGATATTCTATTTCAGGGGCACATGGCTGCGCTACAAATTGATAATTTTCTACATCAGTAGCCATACTGGTTGCATTTACACAGGCAGCTCAACTCTGATCTTTATCCCACTAATTGCTCTTTTGACCAATCACATCAGAACTATTCACATCAGCTCTTTTTCAGAGCTGGTCTGATTGGTCAAAAGACTAATTAGTGAGAAAAAAAATTAATTGGGCTGCATGTGTAAACGCAGCCTATGAAGGCTAATAGGCTGTGTTTAGACAGGCAGCCCAATTCTGATATTTTTCCACTAATTGGTCTTTTTACCAATCAGATCAGCTCAGCAAAAGGTTTTGATGTGAAAAGATCTGATGTGATTGGTGAAAATACCAATTAATGGAAAGAATATCAGAATTGTGCTGCCTGTCTAAATACAGCCATACTGTATATTCCTTCATTCGGGTGAGTACATACAATGACACCAATAAATAGCAAAACCTGGCTATGAATAAATTCTGTGCGCCAATTTTGGTGAGTGCAATCACAATTAAAACTTGTTCTGAGACCCAGACATTCACAGTCACATGTTAACATAATTGAGTAATCATCAGACATTCCAATCACCTATGCACTGCACAGTTGACAAGTCCTGTTAGTATAAGTAATGGAAGAGCTTTCGGTATAGAGATCTCTGTTTAAAAGGGGCAGTGTACAGCTGTGACAGGGTGCAATCTAGGCTGGCTCACTCATCACTAGTCTCCATGAGGCAAAGGTAATGTCATTCAGGCAGAGCTCTCAGAGGCTGCTGTGGGGTTAGCCCTTGATCATGACTCTCAGTTCCATTACATTACACATAAGTCATTGGACAAAGGTGTCTTCTGTACAGGGGAGCTTTGTTAAGAGCCCCGACGCTCGGTCTGAAAATTAACACGCATCGCTTGCAGTACAGTTTTGGAAGCATAAGGACCTTATCTTTCATATCAGCAAGAAATACGGCCATATTTCCATGTTACAGTGCTTGCTTGCGGAAAACAGACAGAAGACAGTGAACTACCTGTGCTAATTAACTATCTGCATTGCCGAACACCTGTGTGTAAACGGAAGAAGGATCCCACAAACGTATTGTCACTGAAAAATACTGTCGGCTGCTACTGTATTAAAACCGGTTAAAACAGTGTACAGTAAGTGGGTATTTTGCATTTGTGAAATTATTTTGAAGTGATATGAAGTAGAGGGATTTATGTTTCTAGAACCATACCGCAATTGAGAATCAATTCATGTTTAGATGGAGTATTTGGCTGTTTTGGCTTCCAGAGGCAATTTGCCTTTAAACAGAACATGTAAGGTCCTTGGACTATAATATTGGGCTATTGTGGGGTCAGGTCAGGTAGGTTGCTGTAAATCACATTCAAGACAGAATTCAGCTGGGGCCTGAGTCAGCCAGCCACAGGTGTGAATGAAATGTGTGAAAACAAACACAGAAATCTGAATCCTCACATTGCACAAGTTGACTTCATCGTTTTGACAGCTTGTGCCCAACTACTCTCAGGTTGAAGTTACAGGCCAGACAGAGACCTTGATTAGAACAACTCTAATTATGCCACCTGTAGCAGTCTTCTTCTTTGGTATAATGGAATTCGCAACAATAGCCTACCTGTAGCGGTCCCTTATTTATGAGGACCAATTGCCAATGCGTTTTCAATGCT